GCTTGCTTTGCAACAAGCAGTGCTAGGGAAACAGGCTAGAAACACACTCCTCTCTTCTCTCCAATCTGTCTCTTGTGCCTTCGTCTTCACTGAAACAAAGTCCTGTTCTATCCAGCAAGATGGTCGGCGGCTCTCAGACCCAAAGGTCCCCTTGTTAGACCCTCGGAAAATGCCCACTCTTAGTTTTCACTCATTTTGCAAAGAAGTCAGAAAGACCACGACAGGTCAGAACGTTTTTAACACTGTGGATTCCTATTTGAAAACTCTGGGTTTAATCTCAGGAATCATGTTTGCACGCCTAAAAGTGCGAACGCTGCCTGGCACCCCACAACACCCTGGTTGAGAATCCCTGCCCCACTTACAGCAATGCAAAACATTATCTGGGGACCAAGGACCTGTAGGCTTTAAAATGAAGTAAATGGGCACAATCAACACTTGCCATGATTGGCTTTGTCTAATTTGCAAAACCGTAAACCTACAGGACCTTGTCATTGCAATGTTTTTATGGCAGGACAGCATTAGCAGTAAAGCAAACACAGAGGACGGCCCAAGAGGCACAGAGCTGAGCAGCAGAGAGAAAAACCAAGGCATCTGGATAGGATGCTCAATGCTGGGAAGAAGAGCAGTTGAGAGGGGTGGAAACTCTTCCTTGTAAGCTCCATATACCACAGCACTAAGCAAGCCAAAAACACATTGCCGTGGACGCCTAACCAATGATTATACGCTCCTGTGGGGTAGTGGCTGTCTTCTCCTATATGCCCATATGTTATACCGCAGCGTATCTCCCGACCTGAGCTTGAAGTGCGACTGTATTGAAGTATATGGCAGGGAACAAGACTGCACAGCTGGATGGAAGAGGCAGGAGCCACAAACCAGTAAGGACTTCTCCATCTCTATATTTTATATGAACTAAATGGATCTCTTCTCTGGTCGGTTATTTGCTCGCTGGCCCAGTGTTCTGCAGAAAATGAAAGCAGCAGCAATTGAAATGAAAGACCAGGCACTTTAAAGCAGCAGAGGTTCAACAGCGAACGTGGAACCAGTGTTTTACCAGGGACAATGGTTAGTACTTACGTAATTCCCAATGCCCCCTTCCACCTGCACGGCACCTGCCAGGAAGGATGCCACAGTGCAACAACATCACCTTGCCTTGCATTATGGATACAATCAATTGCTAGGAAAACACCCAATTACTCACAGAGCCTGTTAAAGCTGCTGCCCACGCAGAGTCCCAGCAGTCCTGGTTTTCCTGTGAATGAGGTTGAGCTGGGCCATGCCAGCCCCTCCATCGATGCCTTATGACACCTACACGCTGCCTGTTTGTTTGTTTTGCTGATCGGCTCCAAAATGAGCAAGCACAATATGTGCAAAGTGAACTCCCCGCGGAACAGGCAAGATCCCCGCCGCCGGATCCATTTCCACGGAGCTCGAGACGACTTGGCACAAATCGAGCTTTTCTGTAGGCTGAGAAAGCTGCTCATTTCCCCTTCAGAGCTTAATAGGGGGAATTTTGATCAGAATCCAATTCCGGCAAGGACGTGCTGGGGTTCTGCCTGTTATGCCGTTGCTTAAAAAGTAGGTCAATCGATTGCAGGAATTACACATATTGCAATAGGGTGGGAGGAATTTGGGAGTGTTTCTTATTTTTGGTAGACCCAGCAAGCATGACCTTGGCATACGTTAAAATAAGCCGCGTTGTTTTCCAACGTGTCTTTCATCTTGAACTGGCAGCACACACCATGGCCCGGCAAAGATCATGCACCGCAGTTACCAACCCATATATACTTGCCCTCTAAACACCTGTATCAAGGCGTACAGACCACTGAAGTGAAGGCTCTTATGTGCTAATGCATCCTCGCGTGGAATAAATGACCACAACAGGCTTTTCAGCAGAAGCAAGGAGCCTCTGCTGAAATGCAAAAATAAATTTGCTGGACTCTGCATGGTAAACCAATGGGGAGAACATGCTGAGGTGTCTCTCCCTTCACTCCTGTTGGGCATCTAATGCCAAAAACCAGGGGATCTATTTCCTTTCTTCCTAGCATATAGAAAATATAGGTGATCTGCTGTTAGTGAGAGGAACAGGCTTTAAAAGCAGAGTAAACCACTGAAGTATCTGTGCAGCACACAATTGCCTCCAATGCAACACCTTTGCTGCTTCCACAAAGACTATTACTTAAATCCAGCACATAAGCTGGTGTGGGCTGAGCTCACTACTAACAACAGGAATCATTTGGGTATTGGGAGAATGACAAGCTCTCTTCACAGCTCCCATCTTGCAGGACCCATCTTCAGAACCTGGAACAACGTCCATCTCCAGACTTATACTTTACGTAAAAGCCAAAATCAGCTTTGGAAATATTTTTAGAGGCAAAAAAAAGTTTCCCAGAAACTCGTGCAGAAAGACATGAGAGGAAGGGAAACAAACGCCAAACTTTGCAGAGATACAAGAGGGCAAGATTTAAAAGTAGAACTGATCATGCCTAAGCAACTACCAGTGGTAATATATTCTGCAGCTGCTGTGCAGAGCTTGCAATGCATAAATACTACCAAGCCAGCTCAGAGCAGCGGTAAGCTGTGTTTGCTTCAGAGGCAGGTTTCAAACCGCAGCAGAACAGTCAATTGTGCAACACGAGCAGCAACAGCATAGCAATAGGAACGGCAGGATTGTACCAGCCACCTCTCCTGTTCTGCATACTAAGTGACCAGACATAGGCATCATAAGCCACCAGATTTCAACTGAACCGTTCAAAACAAGGTTTACCAGGGGAAATAAGTGACAGCTAGAGTGCTGCCTACGTGCTCCCGCTTTCAAATGGTGAAGCCATCAGGTGTGCATTTCTGGAGTTAAGCTGACATAGCATAACAGATTTCTTTATTTAACACTGGAGCAACTACACTTCATAATTTGGTACTTACACAGCAATTTGAAAAAGCAGAGTGTTTTCCTTTAAACAAAAAAAAACAGTCTAAAAAAGACTGCGCACAAAAAAAAGAAAAGAAAATTGTACCTTCCAGCTAACATTGCATTTGCTAAACTGAGAGTTGGGTTTCTTCAAAGCGGGTAGCATTTGTGAACACACGACTCTTGCCACAACCAAACACTTGAACTGTTGTTTTTAATTTCGCTGCTTCAGAAAACTATAGAAATAAAATTCTGTTTGTCATTTGTTATCCCATTTAGGAAAGAGATAACCCACTACCTCAGATCACTTCTGGAGGGGGTCTATTCCAGGTCTTGGGGGCTCAGACAGTAAAGACATTTTTTCTTGTGTCCAGCCTAAAACGGTCTTGGGGGAGTTTATGACCATTGGTCCTTGTTTTTCCTTGGGGTGCTCTGGTGAACAGACGGTTCCCCAGACCCTGATGCACCCCGCTTATGTACGTATAAGCAGCCACCAGGTCCCCCCTGAGCCTGCGCTTGTCCAGGCTGAAGAGTCCCATGGCTCTCAGCCTCTCATCAGAGGGCCTGTGCTCTTGCCCTCTGATCACACACGTGGCTCTCCTCGGGACTCGCTCAAGCTTCTCCACATCCTTCCTGAATTGTGGAGCCCAGAACTGGATGCAGCACTCCAGCTGTGGCCTCAGCAAGGCCGAGTACAGTGGGAGGATGACATCCTGAGATTTACTTGAGAAGCATCTGTGTGTGCAAGCAAGGGTTTTGTTTGCTTTACCAGCTGCAACAACCGCATTGGTGGCTCATGTTCATCTTGTGGTCAATCATGACCATCGAGTCTCTTGCAGCCGTGATGCTAGCAAGTGTAGCATGCCTGTAAGCATGCTGCGGGTTCCCCCGCACCACCCTGAGGTGGAGTACCTTTCATTTATCAATATTGACTATCATCAGGTTTGTATCTGCCCACTTACTAAGTTTATCCAAGTTAGCCTGGATCACTAGCCTGTCGTCAGGTGTGAACGCTATGCCGCAAAGTTTAGAGTCATTGGTGAACTTGGCCAGTGCGCTTCTGACACCAATGTCTACATCGTTGATAAAGATGTTGAAGAGAACCGGTCCGAGGACAGAGCCTCGGGGGACGCCACTGGTCACGGAGCACCATAATAACTTGCTGCCATTGACCGCTACTCCCTGGGTCCGACCTCGGAGCCAATTTCCCAGCCATCAGACTGCGGTGAGGCCGAGGCCACAGCTGGCCAATTTTTCCATGAGGAGGTCATGGGACACCAAATCATACCTGGACTTTAAAAAAAAGCCTTTTATGACATCAATCTCTTCTTCCATGTCCAGGTGATATGTCACCTGGTCATAGAAATAAATGAGATAACACACCAAAGTTACCAACCTATATATACTTGCCCTCTAAACACCTGTATCAAGGCGTACAGACCATTGAAGCGAAGGCTCTTATGTGCTAATACATTCTCACATGGAATAAATGACCACAACAGGCTTTTCAGCAGTTTCTTTATTTAACACTGGAGCAACTACATTTAATAACTTGGTACTTGCACAGCGTGTTTTCCTTTAAACGAACAACAACAGTCTAAAAAAAAAAAAAAAAAAAGACCAAAAATGTACCCTCCAGCTAACATTGCATTTGCTAAATGGAGAGTTGGCTTGTTTCAAAGCAGGTCGCATTTGTGAACACACAACTCTTGCCCCAACCAAACGCTTGAACTGTTGCTTTTAATTTCATTGCTTCAGAAAACTATAGAAATAAAATTGTGTTTGTCATTTGTTATCTCATTTAGGAAAGAGATAACATCTTGATAGGAGGTAGTGGGTTATATCCCAGGTGTTAAGGGATCGTTGTAAAATGGTTTGCATCCATCCTAAAGATGAAATAAAACACCTTAAATTAAATAGAAAGACTGTTCAATAGTTTGTGCCTGGGGAGGCCAACTTGAGGTGGCAGGAAGCAGACTGGGGCTGGGACAGGTAGCAGAGAGGCAGGAAGCAGAAAGCAGAGCAGAAGACTGGGCAGGGAGCACAGGGGAGGGAACAGAAAGCAGAGCAGCAGATCAGGCAGGGGGAAGGGGATTAGACTGGGGCTCAGGGAGGGAGTGGGGCTAATATGTGGCCCACTGGCCAAAAAGGTTGTCCCCCCGACCACCACTGTTTTATGCTATTTAATGGCTACATTTGCAGCCATAAAACCCCTACTTAATAAGTTTTTGGTGTGTTTCTCAGGGTTAAGCCCTGAGTGCAGCAGTCTGTCTCTCTACTACAAAAGCCAAGTGTATTCTCAGCTGTATTACAAAAAACAGTCACCTTTAAATGAGGAAAGCACGCCATTGATGTTGAAGTACGCCGACACCCACAGCCCCCCTTCCCGCTACAAAAATTGGAGGGGTGGAAAAGAAGGTATCCTCTCAGTCAAGGCTGAGATACAGTGAGAACGATTCCCTGAAACTTTAAGACTTGCTTCTCACTTTGTGTGGTATCATGGGGGCTGTTACTTGGCTCACCATGTCCGGGTGCGATTTCTCTCCTGAGCCTAAAGCTAGTGCTTCTCCCATATGGGAACAGAATGGCTCCATAGGAGAAAAGGTTAACTTCTTACGGAGCCAATGATCAGCTAGACAAAAATGCAATCCCTTAAATACTTCTGAGTGGTGACACTGGCCAAAGACGTGTGCCAGTCCATGACTTCCACCAGCGCAGGCGAGACATGATAAAGCAGTCGCTGTAAGCTACTGTCTAACAAAACGCCAGACAAACAAAACTCAGTGACTATATATTTTCCCCTCACTTTGGTCTTTTAATTCGCTACCTGCAGAGCTTGCTCACAAGTTGTAGGGAAGAGAAAAGCACGCCTTCATCAGTGTGGAGTTGGGGCTAAATGCTCCTTAACGAGGACCCGTGGCACTGCTAGAGAAACCTTGCCATGATGAACTGGAGGAAGGGGTTGTTTGGGTTCGTTTCCATCGTAACGTACACAAAGAGCACAAAGATGAAGATGGTGAGTATGGCGATCCTCACTGGCATGGGTATGAGCCCCTGATGAGTATCCTCTCGGGCCACTTCTGCCCTGAACTTCTGCTTTTCCAGCTTCAGCTTTTCCTTCTCCACCCTGACCGTCTCTACAGTCTCCTTGGTTGAATGGCCACTCTCCTTGGCTGCTCTTTGCCTAGAACTGTGAAGAGGAAGATGAGGCATAAGACAGCTGGAAAAAAAAATCTGTACCCTTGTTGCTATTCAAACTTAGCAACAGAAATAGCACACAGGAGGGAAGAAAAAGGCTGGTTGGTGATCAAGAGAAACTTAAAGGCAGGCAAAGGACAGGTGATACAACAAGAACCTCTGAAATTACGGCAGCAAGCTTTTTTGTGAGCTGTCTGGATGGAGACACTGCTGTGGCTTGAATCTTAGGCTGACAGCCATTACGGTCGGGAGCGTGATGTGTTTTACAACAGTTTGTGCTTCATCGACACAACACTGGAAGGAATACATTCCTCAGGCAGGCTTTCGAGGATTATTTGCTGTTTTAGGACGGATGGGAAATTGGTATTAGGAAACAATGCATTCTGGCCGGTTGCCAACAGAAGCAAAATCTGCAGGTCAGGACTCGTGTTTAATGAGCTGCACTGGAAGATAAATGGGCCTCCTCCAGTCTTCCTGATGCACTACCATGAGGCACAGGTTCCTGCTATTCACTTTTCTCTCTGCACAGACCACGGAAGAATTAGGAAGTGGAGTTCTGCCGAGATGGAAAGGGAGTTGCTACCTGAACAAGAGAAATAACCAAAAAAAAAACCCCCCTCTATACTAGTTGCAGTGACTAAGTGGTGGATTTTTTTAAAAAAAAGACCACCCCCTGTACACAATCTGAATGCTGTCCCCTATTAAAAACTAATTTACATTGCTCATTTTGATTTTGACGCCAACTGGTGTCTAGTTTTCACTTCAAAGCACCCCAGGAACAGTCTTTTTGTGGAAGCCGGCATGCCTTCCAGAATAAATAGCAGGCTGCAAAAGGAAAAGACAGACACCGGCTTTTTTGGACATGAAGAAAGTTGTTTCAGTGCAGGGGGCATCGGTGTTCTCTGCGTGCCGAGTTTCAGCACAGCACGCGGTGGAAGCATCGAGCAGACTAGTTAACTCAGTAGCAGGAGAGAGTTACTCTACCGGCTGCTTTATTGCCAGGAGCACCAAGCACAATTGAAACCCATTTTGCAACAAGCTCTGTTAAACATAAAAAGACGGGACAGTAAGAGATGGTCCCTAGCCTTGAAGAGCTTACAGTCTAAATAAGCACTGAGGCGCAGAGAGGTCCAGGGCAGAGCTCAGAGCTGAGCCTAGGTCTCTCTGGCCCAACCCAGCGACTTAAATGCTCCTTCCTCTTGAGCCCTATATCAAAGGTTCAGGGCTGTCCCAGCTCCCTAGTGACTTCATGTCATTACTGTATTCAAGCGGTGCAATAGCTTTTGTAGAGCGAGTTAACATGGAAGAGCAACTGCATCACACAAGCCAGTTAAAAACAAATATGCAACTGGCTGTAGAGGTTACACTCCCTGCAGGTGCTGGTGCTCCCCCCAGCTCAAGATCTATATTCACTGGCACCACAGCACAAGAAACTTTAAATACACTAGTCTGCAACTTTCCCATTCTTCTAGCTGTGAAAAAAGCCACCATGAAAAGCTAAAGTACACTTCAGCAAGTGGCTCCATCTGTCATAAGTTCCCTGAATTTCTCCCTCTCACTACCAGTGCTGCTTAGCAAACTGGAGGGGTTGTCATCAAGCCAGCAGCCTCTGCAAGGGTGATTTCCTTCAGAGATTTCACAATCTCTGGAAGGCCAAGCTGAAGCTTTTTCAATCACCCACAAACAATGTGAGGGAAGATTAGCCATGGCTAGGTGCTGCATTTCTATTAACTTTGCATCAGGTTATTGAACAGCCTTACCTTATCCCAACAGGAGACTGAGAGGCTGGAAACCATGTTTCACCTTGGCCATCATCTTTGCCAACAGTGCCCCCAGGTGTGTCAGCTATCTGATGAGAGGAGAAAAAGGTTCTGGTGTGACATCTATTGCTCAACCCAGGATCTTTTAAATCCTAATCATTGAAGCTAATGAATCAACTGTGGATATCTTGGAGTACAAACATCCTAGCTATTTTTTTGACATGATGCTTCATGTTTGCAGGCTAAGCATTGTTTTAGCAGGAAACTACAACTGTGTGCAAAACACTGGCCTTGAACATTAGCTATACCCACAGAAGCTTAAAGGAGGACAGTACCATAAACTTAGGGATAACCACATGATTTTTTCTTGGTAAGTGATCCAGTGTATGGAAACTGCCTTTAAATTATCTTGTTCATAGAGAAACCATCCACTTTAGCAAACAGTAAAACCTCTGGTGAACGATTTATAACCATCTAGAGACTGAGCTAAATAAAGGTTAGTTGCCTGCAGTCTATTCTATTTAACAAACATTGATGTCTGTGGAGTACTAGGTAGTGTTCGATAAGTCATTGTGCTCTTGTCCAGCATTTTCTTACCCTGCTGGAAAAGCGGTTTTATTGTACAAGTCAGTCGCCACTCCATAGGCGAAGAGTTGATTTAATCCCACTATTTCAACAGACCTTATAACCAAGTACAATAAAATATTGCCCTTGTAACTGAAAATAAAAGGGTGCAGGAAAGATAGATGAAGAGCTGATGGCAGATTTAAAAAAAAAACAAAACAAAACAAAACTTTTTATGATATAATTATGTTCATTAGGACAAATATGAAAGTGAAGGGTTATTTTGAGTAAAATACTGCATTGAGACTACTTTATTAGGAACCAGCTCACGTGTGCAATGGCTGACTATTAATTCGCTAATAAGACATAAGTGGGCGCATCGACGTGTTCGGTAATGTGCCTTAGATACTGCGCGTTTAGTTTAGTGCTTCGTTAATGAAGTACTAACCGAATGCAAGTAACTAAAGTTACTCCACAGTAGGTTATTAATGCAGTGTGTGCCGTGACGCGCTACTGTGCAGTGTTATTAGGCTAATGCGCAGTAAGCATCTTGTGTAGATGCACCTGCTGTGTTTTAATTAGACAGTCAAGTGTTATTTGGTGAGAAGTTGTTTTTACTGATTGGAGCTAATAAAAAGGTCTGTTCTAGACTCAAAACACATAAAATGAGATGGTCATCAAGAACAGCTGTATGAGGGTGGCAGTGAAATACATCCAACAAGGTTAGAGAGTCCCACTGTGCTGATACAAGTCTTGTTCCAAAGAAATTCAGTCCAACTCCCCACCCGACAAAGATTTAGGCATGTCCTTAAAGTCATATATTTTGACCAACATGTGCAGGGTTGACACCTGCAAAATGCTGAACTGAAATCCAGCATAAGTTTATTAAATGTAAAAATCATTAGCAGAAAACCATGATGGAAATGTCACAGTATGAACATCTCCCACTTCAAGATCGTTCGGCTGATTTATAAGTGCAAAAGCAAAGTTATTCTGAGACTGTATCCGTTTCAATCAGAAGTTTCCTTATATAGTTCTTTGACATGGAGGCATGCAGCTGTTTCCTTGTTATAAAAGACCACCTTTGAGCCAATGTATTTGCATGCCTGCCCTGCAAATGCAGTCTTATGTAGAGATGCCCAGGATCTCTCTAAATGAAGCAGTCTCATCTTGATAGCACGGGACTCTACCACAGGCTAATTTACCATGTGAAGAGGCCAGGTAAATTAGCCTGCAGAGTCCGTACTATTGCTTCTAGTAAGAGGAGAGACTTCTTGATGTGTGGCTTAATATAAGATCAAGGAAAGGAGTTCTGCGGTCCATGGATGGCATCTGAAACAAGTGTAGATCAATAAAGCTGTTTGCTCCGTTTTGTTTTGCTACCACAGGGTGCAGGATGTTGTTTTAGGGATATAGGGCTTTGGAAGTTTTTACGGGGGAAAAGAAAAGTCAATTTGCTGTAAGTTCATTAGCACCAAAGTACCGTTTTCCTGCGTGTGGGCTGAGGACTGCTGCCACCTGACTGCTTTTGTCCATGCATCAGATGCGCTGCCAGCTTATCCTCTGGCAATATTTGTTCCAGCTGTTAACATCCAAGACAGACATGCATTACTTCAGGGGGGGAAAAAGCATAAACAACCTATCCACATTCAAAGCCTCTCATGGTAAAAATTCCTGTATCAAAGTCCAGAATATTACAACAAGCCTCATTTAGGAAATAGCTACTTGAGACTGGTCTAGCTGTGACGAGAAGTGCATACCTTCATTTACAGTGCAACTTTCATTTTAAAAGAAGTGTAACCAGAGCCTGAACTGATTTGTGCCTTATGCATGATATTTATAAACTTCAAGCTAATTTCTGCTTTCTAAAGCAACAGTCTAATACAGCTTGCTTAATTTTTTTTAAAACACCAATACCGTTTCCTATACTAAGAGCTCTATGGAGATTATAGCAGGTGGAACAGCTTCATTGAGATGAGTCAGTTATTTCACAAGGGAATTTTTCTTATGAATATATCTGGTACACACTTCACGCTGCAAGGTTCTCCTGTATGCACATAATGCAAATCAACCAAAGCCAAGGTGCGCCCCCATCAGACGGCAGAGATTTTCAGTTATAACTACTGCTGAAAAGTTAGCAGGAGCTAACTCTATTCCTGCTCTTGAGCACGCCTAAGGAATTCCTGAATTCATGCATAACTTTAAACTTTGTGAATTGGGAAGTGCAGCAACAGCACTAGATAGTAAAAGATGGTAGGAGCCAAGCCAGTACTTTCCTCTGCTACTATCTTGGCAAGACTGTAATCTGTATCAGGAGACAGGAGTTTCTTGTGACGTTCTGAAACTTCTGCGTGTGGAGCCTGTGGACAAAGGAGAAATCACAAGGGATGCCAAAAAACCACTGGTGATGTTCGTTATTCGGGACCTTCACTGTGACCTGTATTTTTCCAATGGCATAGGCTGAAAGCATTGGTTTTGTATAGTTCTGACATTGCACAGAGCAGTATTTATTACTTCTGAAGCGGTTTTCAAACGTGGCTGGACAGTGCCCGATGTGTGTGGCAATGGGAGGGAGGATGGCCTAGTAGTCAAAGCAGGAGGCTTGCATTCCAGAGACCCTAGTCCAATTCCCCGTGCATTGTGACCCTGAACACGTCGCATCAGTATCTCACAGGTATGTAGGTGCCTTACTCAGGACCCCTTTGTTAAATGGGGAGGACAGCATTTCCCTCCTGCATTGGGGTCTTGCGAGACTAAATCCATTGAACTGTAATATGTATAGCTGTCACAATAGCAGAGGGGCCCATAACTACAGACAGATGGACAGTCACTGGTTGTCTAAGTTTATAGGAACTGGTTTTCCCACCTCTGATAAGGGTCATCCTATCCGAGTCCCTTTAGAATATAAGCTGAAGTATCATGCTGCAAAACTCTAGTGATCGAGTCAGTATTTCATGGTTAATTCTAAATACACTGCTAAGTCTGTATTAATAGTTACTTAGGTGCTTTGTAAATCAGAAAGTATCTTGGTACATCTTAAACACCTGAGCTGATCGTTTTACAGTGGATTTCCGTGGGCTGCTCTATATAAATTGGGCCATAGAAGCATACTATAATTAACTGATAGGTTGTAACTGCTGCATTTGTCATGAGACTAATACAACGTACATCAGTTTATATTAACTGCAATTTCCTGCATTTAGCTATAGATACATAAAATATTCATGCATTAGTAGGTTACTTACTTTATCATAGCCAGAGGCACAGGCTGCTGTCACTTTGAAGTCTTTTGTTTCAAGGACTACTTCAGTAGTCGTCTCTGAATGAGAAGAAGGAAAGCTCATAAGTGAACACCTTACAGATGTGCATGAAGTGTGCCGGATACTTTAAAATAAGAGGTGTGGGACAGAACAACTTTCGAAGCTGCTTAAATCAGCTCTCTGGATTTATGGAATAAATACATACACACACACACACACACACTTAATTAAACTTCCTGTGCTGTCAATTATAAACATAATTTCCATGTATGTTAAAACACTTTGCCACCCCACTCAACAGATACCATGTTCAATCGGACACCTAGATAGATATCATGGCGAGGGGCATTTTAGAAACAATGAGATGATAAAGTGCAAGCTAAGCAAGTGGGAAGAGGCTACATGCCCATATTTGCAGCACATAACTAACCCCAAATTAGATTGATGACTTTAGGGTTCAAGAAAAAAGGGGTGGCAGGAACCAATGTGGAATTCGAGTGAACAATTACTTATCTATTCCAGCGTGCGATGCAGTAGGAACTGGTGAAAAAACCGCTTCCTTTAAATGATGTTTAATCAATACAGAAAGAAGCCTTGTTTGAAGCAGTTCTGCTTTTGTTATGACAGCTGCCACACTGTCACGTTAGTCCAATGCACAGCTGTTGGTTTCGTGTTTTTTTCAAAACATGCCTAAGCTGCTCAGGATTTTGGAACTCCTTCCTTTTCGCAACAGCGGCGGAGTTCACCCCACCGAGCTAATCACTTAAACAAAGCTAGCTATTCACTGCAATCTCTAAAACACTGGGAGGGTTGGCTTTAGTCTTCATAGGAACTTCAAACGGAGATTTAAAGGAGATCAAAAGGCTGGTTTTCAGTTCTAACTCACTCCCCCAAAAGGATCTCCAGGACTGAGCTACTGGGTGTTACACAAGAGCCAAGAGAAAAGATCCTGTATTCATTCCTCCTCTGAAGTCTGAAGAGAGCTCAAATGCCTGGATATTCATGTCGGATTTTTTCAGGCCAGATCAGGACAAGGATCCATCTACTTTAACAGCTTCTCAGACTTCAGTCACTGGAATTATTCTGATGATGCTATCCAACATGTAATTCAAGCTAACTTTTTCCATGTTAAAGCCAATGTTGCTGTAGCCCCTGACTAAGCTGGTACTGATTTTTCATAACTAAATCAAATATTAGCAATAGGTGAAAGGAGATGGCAATGAAGGTGTAACAGAGGTTAAAGAGGCAAATTTTAAGAAACTCTGCAGCAGGCCATTATGGGACAGTATGCCCACAGAGAAGATAACTCAGGGGTGGGCCGAATGCGGCCCGCCAGGCTGTTCTATCCGGCCCGCGGGGCCCCTAAAAATTTAGAAAACTAATAGTTATCTGCCCCTGGCTGCCTGTCATGCGGCCCTCGATGGCTTGCCAAAACTCAGTAAGCAGCCCTCCGCCCAAAATAATTGCCCGCCCCTGATAACTCCCCTTTCAGGACACAAAATCAATGGGAATTAGGAAGCAAACACATCTCCAAACACTCTTACTTAATATAAAGGCAGATTTGCTTCCCCTACAAGGCCTGATTGTCACTATTGCTAAGCTGGTGTAAGTGTGATTTGTTCCCAGTTTAAGGTTTCTTTGCACGGTCAGAAATGGATGGTTTGCATGGGAAGGTTTGGACAGGGCTGATCCTGCCTCAGGCAGGGGGTTGGTCGAGATGACCTCTGGAGGTCCCTTCCAGCCCCACTTCGCTCTGACTCCGAGTTAGGACACTTCCCAGCAGGTGAGGATTTTTTCCTCTTTATGGCATAAAAGGGGCCTTAGTGATGACAAAATCAAATTCCCCAAAAAAGGGGGGAAGGGTGGAGCTGTGTTGTGGCACCAATTATTCATGTGGTTTGTAAAATAGGTATTTAAATACCTGTATAAAAACCTGTTTGTCCAACATTTTGAAAATACCACGTGCTCAAGTTTGAAAAACCCGCATTATTTTATTGTCTGCACCCACAAAGCTCACTATCGTACCTTTTGTTTTCTCCTCCTTCATTTCTGAATACCGGTCAAGGTCTTCCGTTTCATTTGTCTGACCACGTGGTGTTTGTGGGCTCGAATTCATCAACTCTAATAGCTTGCTCTCATAAAGAGTCCGCGTAGAAGCTAAAACAAACAGTTCAGAGCACAAGTGGCTTTTAGTTTGCTGCGTGATTAGCATTTTAATAATAGAAAATGACTGAAATTTAGGATTGTGCTCAGCACCTAGCGGCCCGCACGGAGTGGCGCTGAAATGTATGGAAGTCTAGCCATTCCGTGTAAATGTTTAAAAAGATGCCGAGCTCTTTTGAAAGCCTGGCTCTTTGCTTTCTTGCATTGGGTCAACAAGACCCCATTACTATTTTTTTTTTTTTTTTTTTTTAATTGCTTGCAAATGTAACCTGCCCTTAACTCTCCCCATTAGTGACATGATGCGTACGTAGTACTGGTCCAGGTTCGACTCCGTAGAGGAGGAGCTGTTTCTGCAATTCGCTGTCACTCAGTAGTTTAATCTGGAATCCATCTGTGTTTTCTTGGCTCCTGTTTTCGTGATGTTCTTCTATCAGCACACCGACAGTAACCTGGGCCATGTTGTCCAACAGCAGAACCTCTGAAACGAGACATGAGAAAGGCACTTTGAAGAATTTATCCTGTTGCTTCACAAATCCTGTTTTTACCAACAACCTGTCTTTGCAAAAGGTACGTTGCCACTTCTGGATTCCTGCCTCTGTTGGAATGGCTTCCAAATGCCCAGCAGCTCCATCACAGAAGACTTCTGAGGGTTTGCACATTTAAAGCCTTTATACAAACCTAGGTAGCAAATGACAAGTAACGTAGCATTTGCCTGTCAAATGGAATTAAGTGGATCCAAGAGATGGCCTACTCAAATTTCAGAGGAGGCTTCCAGAAGGGAAATAGAAAAGCAATCAATATATGCAAACGTACAATTCATAAATAATATCCTGGAATCATAAGTGTACTAGTCTGCTTTAGCACTTTTATTTGAGGTATAAGATAGGCCAATAATTCATACTAAGTGCCCAGGCTTATATGCAACGTGCTTAGAAAAGTACTTGAAGTATCTCTTTATAATTCAGATCTCCATTGTTTGCCATACTCCTTAGGAAACTGGAAATCATTCCTCCCCTTCCTTCCCACATCCACTCTGTCTTGCCTTCTTTGTGTCAAGACAGCTCCAGAAACACATTTCTGTTCGCTTGCTTTCCCTTTTCTATATGCCTCTGCAGCAGCCCGAAAGAAATCGTATCATTCACCCTATGTTCTCAGTGATGGAGTGATGCCCCTTTTAAACCTGCAAGTCTGTACGAGTTGTATATATGTAGATTTAATACTGCCAGTAATATTTCTAGAGCTAAGAACTAGATTGCCTATATCTACTTGACAGACTACAAAAGAGAAAAGCCTGCAAGATCTGTGAATCAAAGATCAGCTTTGTTTGGGCTGTATCACTAGGACATTTTATTTTCAAGTACCCAAGCAACGTTCCCACAGCACATTTCCATATATATTACACAGACTAAACGAATCATTTCTAGCACAAAATACTGTGCATGACTGCATGCAACAGCTGTTCTTTCATGCCTTGGTCTCCTGTGACCTGGTTTTGATTATAACATGCACCACTCTGATTGGAATCGAGTCTCTAGAGATCCACGGCTATCTTACAGGAGCACAAGACTTGCCTAAAGCTACACCTCTGTTACTCCATTCCTTCCCACTTAATAGGAAGAAAAGGTCTAACCTCTGCTGTTTACACCATTTAAAATTGGGTTTAAGGACCACACTCTCCCAGTTCTGCAATGCTAAACCGGTTGGGATAAAAGAGAATGATATGCACCGCCTCTGTGTGTCCACGTTTCCATCTGTATAATGGGGATAACATTTACCTACCTCAGAGTGATGATGAGACACTTGTATTATTAATGTTCACAAATCCCTTGGAAGATAGCCAACTGGCAGATGCAACAGTTTTAGATGTGCGGTACTTACTAGACTTTTTCCAAATACTTATTTCAACTTCTCAACATCTACCCGTGAATGTCAGACTGAACTCTCATGACCAGCACAGGAAACACTGGCAGACAACAGCACATCATCGTGGCAGAGACTAGACCTCCACGGTGCCCTCTAATAAACCCTTCTTATTTATTGTCTTCCAGCTACTGTATCTACCATTCACATATCAAAAAATATCTATCAAAAACTAGACATTTGGCAATTGTACCAGAGCTTTTACCGTCACTCCTGACTCGTCTATGCACAGGCTGCACTAGGTTTAGCTAGCTGTGTTTAAACAACACAAATCTTATTGTGGGTCGACTCCGACATAGGTTTAAAACTGCCAGAAAAGCAGAAGCTACCCCAGGCTAACATCACACATGCTTAAACTTACATAAGCTTTATATTCAAGCCAACCCTCAACAACACTGAAGAACTTCTGCTCGGTCCCAATTTCTGGATCTAGGCAGGGATTTTCAAAGCAATAGCAAGAAATTAGGAGAATTAGGTTGATTTTCAGCAGGGGCTGGTCACGTTTCCCCTGGAAAATCCTACAGACTTAAACAAACCTCTTCAAGATGATGTATTTATATGATTCGATTTAGGAAGGCCTTTAATAAAATGGCCAGAACAAAGACCTGAATGGACATGAAGACCGTTTGTGTTTGTTTACATGGCATTAAGCCAACCAACGATAGTTTTGTTTCATTTAACCAATAATCTCTTTTTAATACCTGTTGGCTGAAGCCCACAATATAAAACTCCTGTCTTTATCTTCCTGTACAGAAAAAGAGGAATTGGGGGGAGAAAACCAAACACCCCATGAAGCCACACACACACACACACTACAATTTTCTACATGAATACATTTGATGTTCCAAGGATTAAGTCTAGGTATTTTGTATCAGTCCTGCCTCAACAAACATAACTGTGCTTTATCAAGTGTTATTACTTCTTTTTTTCCCCCCAAACAAGAACTGCTAATCCCTGAAAAGGCCCCCTTCAGTTTGCATCTAGTTTGCTAAAGATATCAGGCTCCAGTGCTGCAGCCTGGTGATAAAGAACCGTACCAGCGTTAGACGCAGCCTTAGAAAACGTTCATACTAGGAAAACCAGACAAATCCACTTACTCCCTCACATCATCAGGTGGGATTCTGACTCTGCTAATTAAAGCAGCCAGAGATGGTAAAAAAAGGCTTCCTCCCCCTAAAAGCCCACTTGCCCTACTCCCAGGGGCTAGAATGCAGTGCTAGTGACTCATCTGTGACATCATTCATTTCCACGGCAACAGCCTGATGTCAAACCAGATTGTGACGTCACTCCTTGTTTGTCAGATGGAGGAATTTTACGTGGAAGGAGAAAACCCTTCTACAAGAGCAGCGAGGCCCGAAGAAAATTGCAAGAGCTTACAGGGGTTAGAAACCCGACTTGTATCTCAGCAAAGTGTAAGCAAATGCCTCTGGTGAAATCTAACCCACCGCAGATATTGTTGGAAGCAAAACCTGGACGGGAAATCAGCTGTTTGGCAAAAAACTAAAATAAAATCATGGGTTACAGCAAGCAGAAAGAGCTGCAGGAGTAGGAATGATCTGGGGACCAAAGAGGCATCATGTAATGAAAAAGAGAAGAGGTAATCAGTGTATGTGGCTCTGCAGAGAACATGACTCGAATACTGGATTCAGCTCTCAGCACCAAAAATACTAGCTGGGACTATTTACCTGGCTGGAAAGGGGCATTGTATAATAATGAATGAGGCAAAAGAAAACTCTGAAGAGTAACAACAATGATTTAAAGCCTACTGGGATTTTATTTTTTGCAAGTAAGAATAAGAGAACTAAGCGTGTATAGCTGAACTAGGCTTATTGTCAATTAAATAAACTTCCTATAGAGGAGATGGATTATGCTACAGAATAGTCTTCCCAGAGAAACGAAAAAGCACTTAAAAAAGGAAAATTACCGGAGAATATACCGAAGGGAAGACGCTGCATTGCGATGCTCCTGAAACTCATTGGCTGATGGGTGCCGGGGGGACAAAACGATCACCACGCTGCGTGTACCTGTTCCCTTCAAAACATTAAAGGCAGACATCAGTTATGTAGGCACACATTGTAACGCCTTGATATTCCCTCGCCTGTTGTACTAACCGGGATCATTGAGATGACGGATATGAAGCAGATTGCAATACCTCCGATGCTTTATCCTCCATCACAAGACACGCACAGCACCGGGCCTTAAAACAAATGCACCACAAGACACCTGATGGGTTACAGGGAAATGCAGCTAGATCGTCCAAATCCTTCCACTTTCTTTGTATTAAATTACCCAGTTTCCTCAAAGTTATCCCTTTCCACAATGAATGAAGCAAAATAGTGTTCCTTTAGAAGCATCACTTGTTTCAAAGGTAAGGTTTGGTTACAAGGAAATAAGAGCTGGGTGCTTTCACCTATGTATTTAGCACTTATTAACCTCCCCATGAAAGCCACATTCTAGGGAAATGCAAGTGAAATGCAACCCAAGGCAGGTCAGGGGCAGCGTTCACTTTATCTGCAGACCTTGCTTCACACAAAGCTAGCCACACTGAATGAACAATATTTCAGTCGCTACCTGGCAATGCTTATTTCCAGAAGGAGTTTAGCAGCGAGAACCACCTTTTTTTAGACGCGAGGAAAATGCCGGCTCTTAGTATTCACTTGTTTTCTCACTGCAGAAAAATAACGGAGCAATTTGTCCGCTGCGGAGATCTCAGAAAGATCAAGGCAGGGCAGAATATATTTAACAGGATGACTTCCTATTTGCCATCTCTGGGTTTATCTTGTGAATCACGTTTGCACGTTTAACAGTGCGGTGGCACCCCAAAAGGATCTCAAGGCACCCCAGAGAGGAGCCTGGCTGAGAATCACAGACGATTGCAAGGCCTGACCATGCTGATTTGTGTGCACGAACATACAACTCGTTCAAAAAGACATCATTCACCTAGTTCAAAGCTTGCACAATTACAACTAAACCCCAACCCCAATAGGTATATTTGCGTTATTTATCAGCCTCGGTATGGCAAGGATATATAATGCACTGAGCCCCACTAAGACCAGGTTTAGACTTCATTACCAATCTTGCGGTCATCTGAATGAATTTAATGCAGCACCTCTCATTCAAATGAATCTTATTTGCCACGGACAAATGCTTTCAGCGATAAGATTGCTTTTGTCCAATCCATTTTTTCTTACTTAAAGTCACATCAGGAAGGCACTGTACTGGAAAAAATGGAAAACAACTTCTGCTCGCTGTAGCTGGGAACTATTTTTTAAAATAAAGCCTAGATTCCCGTGGAAGCAGATTGACGCTCAAAGCAGTTGTAATTGCATTCTTTTGAAGGAGTGAGATCTGGTGAAAAATCTAGCTACTTAAGGGATAGAAAAGGCATTTCAAAGAACAACACAGCAGTGGAGAGGAAGGTTGAAGGGAACTCAGGTGTGCAAAATAAAACAACTTGAAGTGCAGGTTAAAAAGGGTACCATTAATGAGGGCTCGGAAGCTCCTTCCATTAGGAAAGAGACGGCTCTTCTATAAATTTTGCGGCTGCTTCCCAACCTAAAATCATTTAAAATGATCAAGAGCACATGTCAGTTTTCAAGATAGGACTGCTGCCACGGCAAGGTCACGAGCAAATTACAGGGGTGCGTTATTAGTTATAATTAATCCCAGGCAGTGGGCTAGCAACGCTGCTAGCTCCAGACAACCGCTACCATCCTTTCCGCAAAGCTCTGCTATTTTTTACTTTGTATCTAGGTTTAATAATGCCACGTTAAAGGCCCGCCTAGCTGCAATCACTTACTGGACACGTTGCCCTGCTCAGGACACGTTGCTAAAATTTTGGGCTTGGCTTCGAACAGCCCCGAGGGCTCCTGGGACGCGGAGGCTGTTCCCAAACCTGTTGAAGTCCGTGAAAAAGGTTCCAGCCGACTTCAATCAAGGCTGGATCCGATCTGGAGAGGGGCAGGGAACTGGCTGGTCCCACACACATGATAGCTGCAGCTGCCCGGCACCTGGGCATCAAGAGCCTGGGAGGACCACATGAGATTTTCAACGTTGTCAAAAGCAGTTAGAGGCACTATCAGTTTGACTAGCCGAATACGTTATCGCATCCTACCATTGCAAACACCTCCCCCCCGCCCCAAAACCGCCGTCAACTAGAAGATAAGAGACAAATATTCCTCTCTCCTTTGAGTTTATTTATTTCATGCATTTAAACCCACCACGGCTAGTCACCTGATTTCCCAGATAGTCCATTTCCTCCCTTATCTGCCAGAGATTTTCCCGCGGCCGAGACATGGACGGCCTTTTAAAAGTAGGGCAATGTGATCGTAAAGCAGTGCCGCGCTGGCAGGGGCAGCATCTAGACACGACCTCCGTTTTTAACTGGGGTGATGGCACGTTGATGACACGTGTGTATGTCCAAAGCTTTGTATGTATGTGCATGTATGTGTGTGTGCGTGTGTTTTTCCAAAGCCTTATATGCATGTGCATGTACCTATGTGTATGTATTTCCAAAGCTTTGCATATACATGTATGTACATATGGTGGTGTGTATTTCCAAAGGTTTACGTGCATTTGAGTGTATGTCCAAAACTTTGTATGTGCATGTATGTGTGCATATGTATTTCCAAAGCTTTGCATGTGTATGTACACATAAACACACACACGTGTGTGTGTATTTCCAAAGCTTTGTGTGTGTGTATGTACAACATATATGTATTTCCAAAGCTTTGCACGTGTGTATGTACATATATCTGTGTATTTCCAAAGCTTCATGTATATGTATGTCTTTCTAAAGCTTTGCATGCATGTGCATGTACACATATTTCTTTGCACGTACATGTACATATGTATTTCCAAAGCTTTGCATGCATGCATACATACATAGATGTGTATTTCCAAAGCACATGTGCACGTGTGTGTATATGTGTGTGTGCGCACATTTCCATAGCGTTGCGTGTCCGTCTGTGTACATCTATACATACGTGTACATTTCCCAAGCTGTACGTGTAGGTATGTGTGCATCTTTCCAAAGCTTTGCATGCATGTGTACGTACACGCGCGTGTGAATTTCCAAAGCTTCATACACGTGTGCGTGCACAAATGTTCGTCTTTCCAAAGTTTTACATGCACATGAATGTAACGTGTATTTCCAAAGCTGTGTCTGTACAGTTTGCAATCACCGGCACGTGCGCGTGCATTTCCGGAGCTCCGCAGGCGTGTAGTGCTTTATCGGCGTGCACCCGCATGGGGCGCCCCTCCCACGCCCGCAGCAGCGACTCCGGCTCCCCGGACACAAACTTTACGGCGGGACATCCCCTCCCCCCTGGCAGAACCGGAAGGAAACAGGTGGACCCCCCCCAAAAGCAGCGCCCCCGCCAGAGGGAAACAGTGACCCCGACGTGATTCGAACACGCAGCCTTCTGATCTGGAGTCAGACGCGCTACCGTTGCGCCACGAGGTCTGCGAAGCGTCAGCTCGAGCCCGCGGCAAGAGGCTGCGTCAAAGGCCTCGCTTTGCGCCTGCGCACTGCGCTCCTATCGTGCCACAGGGAGACAGCAACACCCCTCCCTCCCCCTCGCCTTGGGGGCTTTCAAACCGCCCGCCGCTGGCAGCCAATCACAGCCCGGCTCTGCCCCTTGTGGGCGGTACCAACTTGGCCTATAGTTATCACAAAGTGGGGGACTGTACCACTCACCATGTCGAAGCGGGGGGGGTGCAGCTTTGCAGCATTTGCAGCCCTCCTGGGGTTGCAGCTGCCTCGGCTGCACTGAGCTGTGCCAGTCTCAGCTGTGTGCCCCCAGGGTGCTCTTCTCCAGCCTTAGCTCTCAGCACAATGATGATTCTTTTTGTTTTTACTCCATGCAAGATTTCCAGCTGCAGGGCGCTGTCTTTATGAGCAGTGCATGAGTGAGAATGCTTGGGCGCCCCACCGAAATCACAAGACCCCCCCCCCATTGACAGCACATTTGAGGCCAGGTCTTAGCCATCATGTTCCTGGAGGGGGCGTTAAAGCAGTGATGCCCGTTTCCCCCCGCCCCCTGGGGCAAAATCCTCCCTCTTGCACCGTTTGGCCAACATGTCAATCTGCCGCAGCAATTTAGGGAGCCCAGCTGGAGACGGCGAGGTCTGTCCACCCCCTGGTCATCAGGGGTCCGGACTGTGGGCACACCTACGCACGTTCATTCATGTACACTAATTATGGGGATTAAGTTTCATACCTCTAATAACTGAACGTGCAGTAACGAGCCTTGCACAGCAGCACCAGTGCATGCTTTTTTGGCGATGTACACTTAGCACGGTTAGTCACCGCTACGCTACTGCGCTGTGTGGTTGGGCTAATGCGCAGTCAGCGTCTCGTGTAGATGCACCTTGGACGCTCAGCACCCTGCCTCCTCCTCCTCACGTGGGGGATAGTATGCTTGCACGCTCAAGCTCGTGCTCTGCAAGTGTTGCTTTGCACCCCTGATCGGGCTGCAACGAGCGGCCCTGGGACGCACGTCGCTGCTTGCGGGATTCGACTTGAAGTGTCACGGCAAGGAGATGATGCATCAAGCCGGACAGTTTTTACGGCTGATGCAACTCAGGTGCTTTCCGTGGGATTAGTCCAGGCTAGGGGTGCTCAGCTGTGTCCTGAGCCGTGGGGCTCCCGAATCTCTGCACCCACGGGGAGCCCCCAATCCCAGCCCGTGGAGGTGGCACGGACCCCAGGGTGCAATCCCAGCGTGGGAAGCTGGGAGGAGGTGGTGCTGGGCCCCGGGACCCGATCCCAGCAGGAGGGGAGCAAGCCCAGTTGCACAGGGGTAGGAGTGGGTAGGGCCGGCCCCGCACCACTCATCCGTCCCACAGGGACAAAAGGTTGAGCGGACACCTTGAGATCAGCGTCAGACTCGGCCCCTTTGCCTGTTCATCTGCTTTCCCCTTTATAATGCCCATCTCTCTCTCCTTGCTACAGCTGAATGGTGCCATTTGCCCACGGCCCTTGTTCCCGTGGTCTCCGCTCAACATTTCTGCACGCAACGTGCTCTCCTTGCCCCTCCAGTCCTATCTGTGAAGCCCAGTCCAACTCCGAGCCTGCCGTCTAGCGCAGGTGTCGCTGGCTGGTCCGTCTGGATGCTGCGGGGCGTGGGGTAGGCCCTGCCATTGCAGCGCCTGGTTGAAAGGGCGGGTACAAAGGACCGGGATGGCAAAAATCCCGAATCCTGCCCAAAACAAAGCGGCGGGAGACCCTGTAGGTGGCGCTTTCTCACCCTGTCTCGGCTCCTCGCCAGCCCGGGAAGAACCAGGTGCGGAGGAAAGGGCGACAGGGAAAACAGCAGAACATGCCATTCGCATATTTGCATCAAAACTGTCAAAATAGTTCTTTTTCGGCAGGGCGCAGCCTGCTGCCAGTTTAAACAACGCAGCATGCTGCGTTGCTCCTGAAGCAGTGGCATCCGTGGAAATGAAAGCGTGCAAGCCCCTATGTCCAGGATGGGTCGGAGTCGATTCCCCAAATGCAGCCCTGCAGCTCTGGGATGTCGGGGACAAAAAGGACCTATTGCAATGTGGGCACGGGGACTTCCCAAGCCGTGTCCAAGCATCCTGCCTCCCTTCCATATGCGGAGTGAGCTCTCCGTGTGCCGAGAAGGTAGAAATCTTCCCCCGATTATAACATTTCCATGGCATGGGTGTCAAATTCCTGCAATTCCATGCATCTTAGATGGCCCTATCAACCACGCTATCCCAGCACCTCCTAGCCCTAATGCATTTATTCACATAACACTCCTCGGGGGTTCAAAACCCTGAAGCGGCTTGGCGCTCGTGGAAGAAATTTGGGCTGGAGACTGGAACTGACCCCAGGTTTCCCCACCCGCGACCACTTCACTACAAGCATCCTTTGGACTGGGCAAATGTGGCCTTACGGCTAACCTAACCTACTCCCTAGCTCTGTAGCAACCTATTCTTTCCCTCTCATTTCAGATGTCTGTTATGAAGCACATCTCATTCCCTCCGCTGTTGCTTCCTGTATTAACTGTCTCTTCCTGTACGTGTCTGCAGAATATGTGACCTTTCCAGCTTCCAAGCCTGGTTTTCCCTGCCAGTCCTTCCACTGACCAGTAAGATTTGGATCCGGTGGTTGGTGCTCTGGGCAGTAGATCCTTCACTAACGAATCACCTCCGAAGGCAATCCCCTCTGGCTGATCCCTGGACCATTTTACAGCATTCACTAGGTTCCCAATACAATTAACTTGGCTATTAAAGAGCCACCCCCAGTGAGTAATGTTTGCCAGATGCTTGCATGCAAGGGCAGTCCTTCTTGAGACAAGTGCTAGCTGGCATGATCCTTGTTTGTGTTGGTGCTCGTCCTGTTCTTATATTTTTATCCCTTCTTATATTTTTTTAAGCAGCTACTGAAATGCTAGCTGGGAACATGAGAACATAGGGCTGTGTACTGCTCATTCAACCCCACAGGAGGCCCTTAGCAAAACATTACATGTTTACCCTTCTTAGGATTAGTTTTCCAGCATCCAGAGGACAGACCCTCTGTTAGCCTTTGTGGGGGTTGTGTGTATCAATGCAAAATGGATGGAAGAAAAAAAAGGCAGCCAGGCTGCGATGCCCCACTCAGAAAAGGCCTGGTCCAAAGCCTCCTGGAATTCAGTGGACTGGTGGTGACAATTTACACCCGCTTTGCAAGGATTGCATGGTCAAAGTGCCCTCCACAGTTGTGCACAGTGCGAGAGGGGCTGTGGGGCAATATCCTCGTTGCTGCTTTAGAATAGCTTGCTATTCATTTGAGCGACACCCTACTTTGTTTGCATGTGATGGGATATAGTAAGGAGCGATTGATGGATCAGTCTTTACTGGAACTACCATTGCCATATTTGATCCCCCTTGTTAAATGATCCCCTTTCCACCTTGCTTTCTACGGCCTCTTTCCCACCGATGTGCCACTGCCCCTCTGTGCCCCTCTCATGCCCTTGTGCTTGCAGTAACCCCTCGGCTCAGTGAGAAGACCACCGATAGCTCTC